GCTTAACTGATTATTCGATGACTGATCAAAGATCCGCATACCACCCCGTACGGCTGGTGACTGCTCTGAGATTAGATAGTGCTATGTATGGCAGCTTGTCAGTTTTCGCAAATTTTTCACTTCAGGGTACTGTCCCTTATGTATTTTATTAACCGGGTCTATTCTAGGGTCTCTTAGCATGTCAGGAGATGTACCATAGCACTTTGAAGAGTCTTTAGAGACCCTAACTTTGAACAAGTTGTAGCTTCTGGATAGTAGAGTTGACATATGTTACATATTTCAAATCATATAATAACATATCTTAAATAATATCACGTCACATAGAAATTGATTTGTGTTTCTAAAATGTTCTAGTTAGAGCAATCTAAAGTCAGTTTCTTGATTCAGAAGTAAGCTCTTGAACATTTTAGGTGTAATATTATTCCAAAATAAATATATTAATAAAAGTTCAAAGTCTTTTAAACTATAAAATATATTCCTTCTTAAGCTAAACCACTTTAAAAACCGAACTGTTTTATCTACACAAATTTATTTTGAAAAAATATTTAAAGCAACGAATGAAAAGATCTAAACATATGTGACACAATCTGATTTATCGAATACAGAGTCTTGAAAGAAACCAATTATACAATATTATATTTGACAGTCAAACACATTGAAGTCAATCTTTCTTACTAGAGGTGGGCGCCTTTGCATTTTCACAATAAAAAAAGACATAGCGAATACGAACCATATCCGGATGTTGTACGTGTATTTGGCAACAGTTGTGCTCATCATATCTGGCAAGATAATACTCGGGCTTTTCTATAAATTCACATAATGCGACTGCCTGGAAGGAGTCACCGAATGAACACTTTCCCCAACATGGTGTGCTGGGCGTGTCATTTAATACAAGTAAACTCTGATTATTAAATGGTATGCCATAGTTGCTATTATTTTGGTGCTTATAAACTTTAAATCCTCTTATTAGAATTTCAAATAAATTGCTAGCAGGGCAACCGAAAAAACAAAACTTAGTTGGATATTGAGAGCTTCGGGTTATAAATAATTGTTCTTCAGAATTTTCATTATAGTCTACGTTGAAGATGTACGTGGGCTTAATAACGGTGCGAGTTTCCTTTAAAGTAGCGACCAATTTATCAACCTCTTGGCGAGTTAGTGTTTCAAATGTTGGCATTTTTAATTCAAAGAGGACCCAATAAACTAACAGTATAGATAATTTGTCACTACATTCATCTGGTTCTATCCATTCGCGACGCATCTCACGCAAATGCGGAGTGTTCTGAATCAATACCAATAAATGTTCACGGTTTTTAACAAACTTGGGCAGATATGGTAACATAGGCTTAATATTATCATAGCTTTTAGTCGCGCTTATGAATAGCTCCCATAACGCCTCACATGAACTCAAATCTTTTGTTAGTTTTTGTGTTAACTCGTTACATATTGTGGAAAATTCCTCTGCTGTTTTTACACCATCCTGTGGTTCACATGGTAATTCCTCATGATCTCCGCTCTCGACGACATTTTCTTCCAAATTTTGATTAGATGTATTTTTGTCAGTGTCAGACATTTTCGTAAAATAAATACCAAAAAATAAGACTGTTAACGAAACTGCCTCTACGTACTGAACACGTAGAGTATAATTTGTTGCTTTAAATTGTGAGACAAAATTTTTGAAATCAATTCTGTTATAGAAATTTTTTTATAAAATCTAAAATAAAATCATTTTTCAAGTATATTAACATTAGACAAATAAAATGACTACATACTTTGTTTTGTGAATATAAGTTGTAATTTAACGTCAAATTTTTCAGACGAAAGTGACGATTATATTTAATAGAAACTTAGTATATTTCATAAAGAGGTTCCAAGACAGTAGTTCTCTTGGAATAGTGAAATAGTTGTTTCACGTTGCTTGTGAAAATTGCATATATGTATGTCGATTTTGTTAATTTAACAAATTTAACAAATTTTTTTAATAACTTTTATTTCTATATCTCGAGAAGTAAGCAATATCAAGTTACTTGGTGGAAAAAATTATTGAAATAGTTAGCTGCTTTCCTAAAATCCGTTTGAAAGTCCTTATGGCCGGAAAATCGAAACCACACCCAAAAACAACTCATAATAGATATTAATTGAGTATGGACAGACGAAGATGCTTCAAATTTCCTCGCTATTAACCACTTTTCCTTTCAAAATGGATTTCTTATAAGAAATTATATATAAATATATAAATAAATAAATATTAATATTTTATATACAAATTATTTATAAAATACATAAAATTTATATAAATTTATTGAATATGTTTTTCAGCGCTAATTGGGCAACTGTAAAAATAATACAAATTTTTAAAATCATTTCAAAAAACATATTTTATTGTCACTTATATTTATAAACATATTTATTCGTACTCTATAAACTATAGTCGAAATATTGGTTACTATAAAATATATTTTTAAAACTCATTTAAAATGCTGTAATATTTGATTAAGTGACCTATTAGCTCATTCAAAAATATATAAATACAATTTGACCATTAAAATAGTAAATTATATTTTTTAAATTTTTTTAACAATTTTTAATTAATTTTTTTTTTAAACAATATATTTTTAGTTTTTTTAGTTCTATTTTATTTTTTATTTATTTATTTTTTTTTTTGTAATTTATAAAGATGTTAGTGTTTGTTAATTTATTTTGTTGATTGATTTTCATTTTAGAAAAATATATTACTTTCCATTTAAAAGTGAGAAATTCTAATCAAATTTAGCTTAGCAATGGTTGTTAAGTAACATATTAACAAAATTTAATTAAAAATTAAAATAAGCTTTAAATATAAGTTCAAGTATAGCACTTTAACGAATACCGACGAAACAAGCAATTCTATCAGGTTAAGAAATCTGGAGATTAGCAATTGCACCCTTGGAAATAATTGATTTGTAGACATTTTTTAAAGTTCCGGTAACGTACCCTAAAAGTATGCAAACTTGTACACTTAATACCATTAAAAAAACCAAATTATATTCTAAATTATAAAAAGTAAAATCAATTAAAATTAATATCATAAAAAAATTTTATTTAACTTAATAGTCTTTAATGAAAAATAATAATAAGGTTCATTAAGTAAATTTAATTTAATTCACGTAATTATATATAATTAGAACTAACATTCATATTTAACTAAATATAAATATAATTATAACTTTTATTATTATTATTTAAAACTTTAATTTAAATACACTCTTTACTCAGTAAAAAAAACTTAATATTCCATCATATATTTTTTCTAAGTTAACACATTTCTTCAATATTAAATAATGTTTCATTATCACAAAAAAAACAAAAAAAATTTTTTTAGATAAACAAAAATCTATCAGAATTGCATAGTTTGTATTATCTTTATATTATATTATCAAAAGAAGAACATATCCTACTAATACTTTCCCTCTTCACTCTCTATCTTAAGTGGAGTAATAGACTCTTTACTCCACTTAAGATATGAACAAGGCTGCCACACTTACAAAAGCTTAAAAACAGTCTACGATGACTTCCTTTTACACAAAAATCATGGTTCGTAATAGTCCACACTTGATAATTATAATATTTTTTATATGCTTAAAAATAATCAAATACATATAAAATTTTATATGTTACTAAAAATCAAAACGTAAGCAATCAGTTAGGATGACTTCAAAGACTCTTCAATTTACACATTAGACCATCTGAGCCATGGTTCATAGTATTGATAATTACAATGTAATATACTTAAAAAGAATATATATTATATTATAATATAATTATATAATTATAATATATAATAATATAATTATATTATAATATATATATATATAATATATATATTATTTTATGGTAGCTATTTCCCTTGAAAATGGAAGATACATAGTTAAATATTTCATAAATAATATAAATCTGTATCATAAAGTCAAGCAGAGTCTATGAAAGAATCATTTAAGTAGGGTTTTTTGTAGGGTACTTTTACGATGTTCACTATTCACTATTCATATTTTGAACCTAATAATGAAAAAATACTAACTTGTCGTTGAAAATTGCTTTATTAAAATATTCTCTTTAATGATTAATTCATTTTTGCATACATTCGAACCATTTGTCAAAGCATTTTTTATAATCTTCTTCAGATGCATTCAAAACATGGTTTTTAAATGCAACAATGGCTTCTTTCGCCGACAAAAATCGTTGTCCATGCAATTTATTCTTGAAGTTCAGGGACACAAAGCAGTTATTGGGTGGAAAACTGGAACCGAAATTAGTACCGCGGATGACCTATTAAATCGTTTTTTTTTAAATATTTAAATAGTGGGTTGTTAGACGAGATGTATGAGTACTTGCATTGTCTTGATCGAGATGTAGAATGATCCAACGGCGCTTGTTTGTTTTCCGTATTTCATTGAAGACTTCCGATAAACAAATGGTTGTATACTCGTACCATTCGAAATTGATCGTTTTACGTTCCTGTAATGGTATAGTTGTTACATGATCAGTTTTTCCGAACTATCTGTTTCGAAGTGCTTCGAGCGCGGACTACTTTTGTTGGATTTGGTTCAACTTGAAAAACCTATACAGTCGAATGTTGTTTACGTTTAATGATTTATGGCTCATACGCATATATCCATGATTCGTGACCTGTTACAATCTTATACTCGTATATGGCATGTCTTTTAAAGCGCTGCCATTTAACTTCTTGAGCATATGTGTGCACGGTGCACCAATCGACATAAGTATCTTTTTGAAATTACTTCAAATGATAGATCTTCCAACGAGAACAAATCTTTCTCACGGCTATATAATCGTGCAATATTTTATATATGCTGGTGGAACTAATGATTAGAATTCCTTCAATCTCATAACGCGGATTTGTCGCATGATATCACAGCATCAATGTGTATCAATTAAAAATAATGTGTTATTTTGAAATAATAATTCTGTTCTGTGACTATTGCAGGTTATTTTTCATGACTGGTAACTAATTTAATAGACCTAATCTCTAGGTCCTTTTAGACAAATAGCATTAGGTAATGCAACTCAACAAAAACTTTATGAAGAAAGTACTATGTATCGTAACTCAGACGGTCTATTGTGATAAATTCGAAATCAGTTAATATTGGCAATTAAAAAAAGAGGAACTTTTAATGACTAATTTTATTTTACAGTGTAATCATATAATAAATTTATTTTTAAAATTATTTTCCTGTAAACAACATATATATATATAAACATATATGCATTATATTATTTAGTTAATTTTTTTTTAATAGCGTGACTACGAGTTCAACCTTTTTTTCTATTTATTATTTTTACTGATTAATTAGTATGCAATTTTTAGTTGCTTATCATTGATTAACTTTTTTCATTAATATATAAAATATTTCATTTTATTATGCATTTCAATATGTATTGATATAAGTTCAAATTGTAGATTTAAGTCGGTCAACACCCTCACCAATCGTATCAACATCTGATTTTATTTTTTGTTGTTCCAATTATAATTTTAAATGATTAGATTGATTTCTTTATTTTATATGAGATATCAAACAATTTAAAAAACATTTTAGCAATATAGACAATGGTAGGATTACGGATAATATTCAATTCGAACCTAAACTTTTCGATCCAATATTTTTTTGACCACTGATAGTTACAACATGTTTTATTCCGATATATGGTATTAAACATTTATTCATATGAACATGTTTGACTGCTCTACCAATAATCTCTTATAGTTTACCGCCAAAATATAATGTTATCAGAATGATACGTTTAAATTTTTCCATCCTGGATAAGGATTCAAATATAGCGCTTATATATGTTAAAATCAGATGTCATTAATAAATATATGCACGAACACTATGTATATCATCAGCTCAAAGATTAAATTAGTTAAAAGCCGGTGTTAGTTCAATTGTGTCATACTTTATAAAGGTTATATGGGTTTACAAGCGGAGCGAATTTTGACGTTATCACCCCCGATTTGGTCAACATTTTTGTTATGCGCTTTTTTTTTAGTATAACAATATTTTTTTGGCCTTTTTTTTGAATGACCATATTGCCAATTCTGTAAGTAATAAAGACTTAAAATTTATTACGTTATGAAGATAATTAATCGAACATAAAATTTTAAAACAAATGAATTTTTTTGTAAGAGTTCAAATAGAAATGAAAAGACAACAACAAAAATTTTAGTTAAGTTATTGAAATTTATTTATGTAAGTATGTTTGTATGTATGTATGTATGTATGTATGTATGTATGTATGTATGTATGTATGTATGTATGTATGTATGTATGTATGTATGTTTGTATGTATGTATGTATGTATGCATGTTTGTATGGATGTATGGATGTATGTATGTATGTATGCACCACCTACAAATAGCCTAAATGAATTTTTTTGTAAGAGTTCAAATAGAAATAAAAAGACAACAACAAAAATTTTAGTTAAGTTATTGTAATTTATTTATGTAAGTATGTATGTATGTATGTTTGTATGTTCGTATGTATGTATGCATGTTTGTATGTATGTATGTTTGTATGT